GTTGGGAGGGTTCCAACCTACTAAAATAGATGACACAAACAAGTTGGTGCCCTTATTCTAACCTCTCTACTGGAGGACCTAGGATATCATTTGGGTGCTTTTGCTGACAATTGGGATTTCTTGTAAATATTGCCTTTCTTTGGTATCCCTATTTAAGGAACCCTGCAATGCCCTGCAAGGCCGGTTAACGACGTTTTTGTTCCTCTTGCTTGGCGTCCTTAGTGTTCAGGCGTTTTGCCTTGTGCCATGTGTGGTGTCGGGTCCCATGCCGTTGATATCCAGCAACCTCAGACTCCTGGCAGCACTGAACCAGGACGCGAGACAGCGCTGCGACACGACAAGCGCAGCAGTGCACGGACTCCATCAGACCTCACTGCAACACCACAAGCTGGCAGACCCAGCAGCAACCAACTAAAACAGAGAACACACGGGGCACCACGCCACCGGCACCGAGACTACAACGGCACACTGGCGAAACAGAAGACCAGCACAAAAGAGATATGCAAGACCTGGACACAAGTGGCAACACAGCTTGCACCGCCAGAGCACCACCGCCATCCAGCGAGACGTGTTTTCGACAAGTAGCAGGTGCCTTCTCATATTCCCCGTAGATCTCAAGAGCAGGCAGCTTTCAAAGGGGGGTGGGTTACAGGACATTCTACAGGAACACAGCTAACAGTTTTTTGGGGCCATGTCCTGTAGGTTTTCCTTTTCACCAAACCCTTTGAAGCTTAAGACCGGCGCCTTGGCCGAGGTATTGATCTCCGCTCTGGTCTCCATGTCCGTTTTGCCGGAGGTTTCGGCCGATGTCTTCAATCGGATAAGCGAGACGCTGGCGGCGCGCTGGCATGAGCTATCCCCACAGAACAAGACGCAGGTCTTCGTGGCGTTGGAGCGCATCAAGCTGTGCAAAGCACCGCTCCCATATAGAGCTCGCCGTAGAAAGTCAAAGCAGTCAAATTAGATCACAGGGGTTCGAGCCTTGACTTTGTCCAACAGTTCATTCTCAATTCATGTTGGTTTCGGGGCATGTGGTGAAAATCCAGCAACCCCTATCCGCTTTGTGCGGATGCACTATTGTTGTCGCAGGTGTTAGTTGAGCTGCGCTCAGCTGTCCTGCAAGCCACTTAGCCGCCACTATCCCACGAAGCTCCCTACAACAGGAGCCCCTTAGCTTCCATCCTGTCTTGCTTTGGTGGCGTTTATTTGTAAAGTCAAGCTCCTAGAACAAAAGCCACCACTTTCGAAAAGACACTGGGCAAGTGAGCCATTTCTTCTGAAGCCCAAAGGTTGCAGTGGCATTGTTCCGACCAACGGAGCGAAAGTGCGAAGTCGCATGATCTCGCATATGTCGACCCAACCTTGCACGTAAAGTTTGGGTCAGCTCTCTTGTGTAGAGCTGCATTCGAATCGGGACAGCGTATTTCGGCTGTGGCAGCAGAGACCGAATCGGTCCTTCCGCCTGAATTTCGCACCGTGGCACCCTAGAGTCCTTGTGCCGCCTCCACAACTATTGTATGTTTCAGGTTAGGCTGAATATGAAGCATAAACTGAACACATCATGTTCTGCGGACCCACATGAGACTATGTTCATTTGTAGGTTCGTGTTTTTGCCCATCGCCCCGCTGGGCATGCAAGTCCGGGCCTGGCGGAAAATCTGTTTTTGGCCCGAGTTCTGCACTTGCCTTATGCAATTCATTTGGGCCATGGTCAATTACGGCTTTGGAGCCATGGTCAATTACGGCCTCGGGCCGTTGGCGATTGCCCCGCTACCTTTAAGCCCTTTCAAGCTCCTTGTGTGTTTTCTCACTTGCCCCAGGCCGACCTCTTGACCTTTTAGTGTTGCCTTGTTATTTTGTGTAGGTTTTGTTAGTCAAGGTACCACTGAATTTTCCGGGGGCAAACGAGAAGGGCTCGCATTTGTTTGGACAAATTCAGCAAATGATTTTGCTTTGATCAAGCCGATGAAGACTCCTTTCCTAGCTGTTTCAATCCCTGCGCCTTTCGCCGTCAAATCCTTTAGGCGGTGCTTATGAATTAACTATTGTGGGAGTTTGGGATTGGGAGGTAACATTCTGAAGCCTGGACTCCATGTCCTTTCTAAGCTGCGCGACTCCATGACCGTGGTTTGGAGCCTCCAAAGACTCGCTCGCTGAGTTGAAAGACTTTTGGGAATACCAATTTCCCTAGCCCGCAAGACCAATGATTGGATCAGGGCTTGGGACCCTTTGATTGTCTCAGCCCTGGGATTCGAATTTGGGAAGATGCGACTGGTGAGCCCAGGCAGTGAGCGGATCGAATCGGATTCGAGCATCCGATCGAGGCTGGAGAACCTCGCCACGGTCCCGAGTTGCATTGTTTTGGGGGAGATTTCACCAGTTCCTCCCTGTTTTTTGTTGGTAAATCTTAAACAACCACCAAGAAGCTATTGGTCTAAGGCCATTTCGCGCTTAGACTTCTGAGGGCGGAACCTGCCTCCTTTCAAACCTTGCTCATCCTGCCTCCGGACTCGACCGCGACAGCTCCAGTCAGCTATGCTGTTGCTGCTGCGGATCCTGCCAATGGCCTTTTTTTGGTTTGGACATGTCCCATTGCCCGGAACACATGAGAAGTCCAGAGCAACAAGCCCACCTTGTGAACGGCAAAGAAACGGATCCGCCGTTTTCTCCCTAGGACAGGACCGCCGAGGGTCCCAATCCCAGGCTGACGGAAATACGTCATTCATTCAAGACACCAATGCCAGTGTGGAGGTGCCGCTGCAAAAGGCTACCCTAAATACAACCCGGTTTCGGTTGCAAATTATACTCTGCTCCAAGGATTGTTTAGCGACCGAACACGCAAAATGAAGGGTTCTTGCTTTGGTTCCTACCCGGATATTCAGGGTAGCTACCCAGAGGCACTCGCAGAATCCCAAAGACCAACTACCTCAATTTTTGCCCATGCGATCGCCGAGCGTCCTTGGCTGGAATTACTTTTCAGCTGCATTGGGTTGCTTCACGTGCGTGGCTTCTGCACATACGTTGAAATTCAGTATCTTCAGCTTGCATTGACCGAGGATCTTTGCGTTGCAGTGATGCCAAAAGAGCGTCCGTTCGCGCACCCTTCCGCGGGCCCCGAGTTGTTTTTCTCCTAGGTTTGGCGGGCCGGGTCGTGGTAGGGTCCCTGGTCAGTCGGTCGGTCGGTGGGTACTTTTCTGGCTCTCACCGGCTCTTTTGCGTCTTTGGGCGGTTTTTGTAGCTTTGGCTTTCCACCCTCAGCATCACCAACGACGCTCAGTAGGAACACTGCCAGGATAGTGTTTGTAACCTACCCCAAGCCAGCAAAGAGCAAATCCCTAAATCACAAAAATCAACCCTAAACAAACCCTTGGTGTAGAACGGGTGCATGTGGTTGCAAATGCAGTAAAATACGTCATTTTAGCGCCTGCCAAATTACCTAAGAAGAACTGGCTCGCCAATCCTGGGAGAATTCAAGCAGTAATATGAAGGACGCAATCAAGAAGCAGCTATGGACTGGTGGCCCCTCGGTCCTTCCTTTCGGCTGTCCTTTTTTTCTGCAAGGCCACTCACTGGTCAAGGAGGGAATGCAAGCGTGCAAGCATGCATACATGTGCGATTTTTCCAAGCAGGCTTCAACATCATGTGTTTTTCAGGGCTGGTGTTGTGTCACGTGAATGTTGGCCCTAAGCAATGGAAGCTCTGAGAGTACTTTTGACCCAACACCTTTGGCCATGTTTGTTTGCTACCTGGTTCAATTGTGATTATGGCTTTTGTGCGTCTCACCAGGCTTACGACCACACCTGAGGTATGTGTGGAGGGAGTACGAACGACAGAGGAGGGAGAACGGAATTGATGGATAATGGGTGAGACAGATGCCAGGAAAGGAATGGAGGTGCGAAGGAATGGAATGGCATCATGTCACCCATCATCTCTTTCCATTTCTCTTTACCTTTCCCCCGTGTTATCTATTTATCTTCTTTGTTGGGAAGACGGGGTAAAGAGAAAGTTAGAAAAGATAATGATAAAGACAGCATGTTTTATTATTTAGTTTCTATTTTACATCATTTGCTGTCTTTATTATTCCCAAGCCTCTATTCCTTACCTGTTTTCTTATTGGTGAGGCTTGGTCATGTCACTGTCCTTTGCTCTGCATTTGGGACAGTGTAAAGAGATCGCCTCGATCGCCCCTTTCAGTATAAAACATTAGAACCAAAGGCGGGCGCTAGGCCAATGGCAGGGCCATGTCTTCGAGAATCCCTTTTTCTTGCTTGGGGGGCGTATGATAGGGGGCCGTACCCCAAAGACTGCACTCAGTGAGTTCCTGGACTTTAATTTTTGTTTTTTGGGTTTTGGGATTGGACCATTTTGGTGGTAAACAACAAGTTTGAACCATGTAGGGCCAGTCAAGGAGGTGAGCCGTAAATGGACCCTTCCGAAGACATACATGCTTCCGCATTTCCTTTCAGGGCACAAGTAGCGCAGTGTGAGCCAACCCAACGCATGGCCCAAGGGGAGCTAGCGAGGAAACAAGGTCCCGGTAGGGATTCCTAAATGAAATTATCCGACCCATAGGCATGGAACTACACAACTCGCTTCCCAAATGGATTCGGAAAAGAACGGCATTTGTTCAACAGGGATCGTGCACCAAGCTTGGTCCTGTTTTTTTTGTGGGGTAATTTCTGTGGACTGGATGTGTTTGTCCCCACGTGAAAAAGCTCAAGGAGTGTTTTTGTTCCATGCTTTACTTTAAGAAACAGCCCGGCAAAGATACGTGCTCCAGAAAGACACGCCCAAATTATACTGCAGTTATGACGGACCAATGGAGCAGTCAGAAGAATTTTGAACCTCTGGGCAATGAGCTCTGATCCCGAACCACCAGGGGACCGCAGGTTTTGATGCATGTTTCCATTTACCACGGTTCCATTCTGGGGATTCCGAAGTTTTTCTGTTGGAACAGACTTGGCCTCTTTAGAGGCCTGGCCTCCGCTCCCCGCTCTCCAGGGACTCAAACGACATCTGCGAGGCGAAAGCCTTGCGCGCGCGTTTGGGGGGGGGTTGCGGGAATATGCCCTCGGAGTATTTCTTGCTGCGGCCATGAAGAGATCCTTGAGAAATGATCGCCAGGGGACCAGCTCCCAATGTCTCTACTGCTATTGGGTTGGATCTTTAGACTTTTACTTTTTGGATTCCCTCATAATTCCTTTTAACCGGCAAACATATAAACTTTTGCTGGGGATCTACAGCACCCAAGATGTTCGGAACCCAATGTTCGGAACGCTTGCAACCACTTGAATGGACCAAATCCACCTATTCCGAAACTCCAAAAGCAAATGTCAGCTTCGAATGAATCAGGCGGAGTACCAAACCAGAACCCCGCCTGGAATGACGAAGTGACAAACTGCCCACTAAAACAGGAACCGCGCAGACGCCTCATGCTTGTAAGCTCGGAGGGTATGCGCTTCATAACTGCACTGCTATAAACATGGAAAAAACGTTTGTAGGCAACCAGGGACCCTCATCGCTGTCTAGGTTGTGCATGGCTCCTTGTGCTCCCGCTTTGCCGACTAAGTGCACAAATACACAATTCAATCCTATGATTGAATATGCTTTGCGGTGCCCCTCCAGAAGCAATCGCGAAAACAGAGTCAGTTGGGTAAACTCTATCGCGAGGTTAAATGTCAGGCAAGGTCAATCGCGACATGGACTTCCAAAATTTATCCTGGCACTGTCAGCAACGCTAGTTTTGCTTGATTCGCGGATTATGTGGGTATTCAGGCTGATTGTAGTATAGTGGCTTGCCTGGAAGCACACGGTTTTCAACTCGATCGACACACCAGCGGCGTCAGAAGAATGCAACGACCAAAACCGAAAGCTCCGGATGGCAACAGATGTTTGCGTAATCCAAGTTTTCAAAATCAAGGGACACCAAGTTGTAAGACTTTGGACCCTTTGCTACAATACTGTGACACCAAAATATTATCGCTCGTATGGCGGAAGGACTACTGCATTACTGCCTAAGGGAGTCCAAACAGTATGACAAAAAGCGGCTGTGGGGACTTCGTTTGTTCCAAGGCAAACCCAGTTTTCCAAAAAGTGCATCGCACAGCTCATCAGGTTGCTTCAGACAGGGCAGAGGATGTGCCAAGGCAAAGTGAAGTCAGCTCAGACAAGACTTGAGTTCCCACTTCTGCGGCTGCGCCAATATGAAGTTCAAGCAAGTGTCCGTTTTCTTTTGGTGGTGGAAATGGGATTCTTGTTGGAGCCCTGTTCCGCTTGGTTTCTCAGTGGGTTACGCTTACGTCCGGCAAGCAATTAGCAAGGCCAAGACGTTGGCAAACGATGGTGAGCGGGGAGCCTTGGAGGACGTGGGGGACGCACCTTTTGAGACCTTCATGTTGCCGCTGGCGGCCGTTGCGTCTCCGACCCCAAAACCTTTTCAGATTTCAGCCTCGGCTAAATTGAAAACGAATATGCGATTGCAACAAGCGAGCAAACAGGGTACCTTTTTCCCATGCACACTGGGCTTCTGAGCCAGGGGAGCGTCCCAGCGGGTAGGTTTCAACAGATCCCGATGCTGCAATGGAGATGTCGGGGCGCGGTTCGAACTGTGCTCATCGCTGGTGAGGATGTGGAGGTGAAGCTTTGCACGGAGCTGGCGGAGGGTGTCTGGGAGGTGAGCTTCCCTATGAATGAGGGGGACTATTTGCCGGTGGCGGTTCTTTTGCCCAGGTGGCTTGTCCCCGGTGGTGTGCAGGGGCGTCATGCCACTTTGGTCCAGTACGAGATGAAGATGGAGGAGGGTCGGATGTTGCTGTTTGTGGCACACCGGAACGGTTCTTTTGTATTTTTCCATCCTGTCCCTGGTACAAACCAGAACATTGCCGAGGGCTTTGCAGGTAGCGGGAACTGGTCAGCAGCCCTGAAGATGCTCAAGTCAAAGGGCGACACTGCGATTTTGGTTGAAAAGGACTGACCGCCAGAGCCTTGGCTTGGTTATCTACTCCACCCCTATCGCCATGTATGCAGCTGCTGCACACTGTCTCCCCAGGGCTTTTCTGCTCCAAGCCGGCATGAGGGACCCAGTCGTTTGGATGCTTGCTGGACTCTGCAATATCGGGCATTGGTGTGTCTCACCGCCGTGTCCACCATGGTCGGCAGCAGGATGCCAACCGGTCTGTCATGGATGGTCGCTTGGCCTCGGACATCATTGTCATGGCAGAGAAAGCAGGGGTGACATCCATCACCATGAAAAAACTGGTTTTGGGGCACACTCAGATTTCCGCATCATTGTCAAACAGTGTCCTGCAGCAGCAGTCGGTGGACAAGCACGAACCCTGCACCCCAAGGATCAGGAAAAGGTGGTTGGGGACTTGGATGTCTGACAGGATAGCAGTGCGGCCTGAGGCAGTGTTTGTGGCGAATGCATTGAGGAGTCAGGTACTTCTCACCGTCGGAATTTGGCGACCTGGCTATCCTGGCTGACATGGCCAAATCATGGAGACTTACTGGAAACACGATCACGGTTCACCATTGCAGGTGTATCGAACTCAGCGGTGAGCATTCGCCGGTGTCCCCGCTGTGTAAGCTTTCGGAGTGCGTGGCCGAGCTTTGCAACCAGAGAATGCATTTGAGGGTTGTACTCCAGGGCAAAAGGCGATAATCCTTGCCAGTTCTATACCAGTGATATCCTTGCCAACTACATAGCTGGATGTGACGGAACATGTGGCCTGTGTGGTGGGCCTGATGGCCGCTTGCATCGGATCCTCCAATGCCCAGAAAGCACGCAGAGAATCAGAAATGAATTTTTTGATAGCCCGAAGCATGTCGATACTTTGGTGTGTGTCCCTGGGATGCCGAGTTGGAAGAATGCAGTTGCACATCCCCCACTTGCCTGAACCCAGTACCCTCTCACCAGAGCTGTGGACGCGACTTGGCCAACAGCGGGCTGCAAATGGGTTTGAGATATGTCATGTCTTTACTGATGGATCTGCCTTTAATCAGGAGTGCCGTTGGCTTCCTCTGCGGCTACTTTTTGCCATGGCAGAAATTCTAGCAGAACAGCTACCGTGGTGAAGTGTATGCCATCCTGCTTGCAATAAGCCTGTACGACAATTGCATTATCTTGCAGCTGTTCGGCTGTTCGAAAGAGCCATAGAGTCGGTGCAAAAATGTGAGCCCTTCAAGGCCACTCATGGGATCTTTGGGGCACGATTTGTTGCACCCCCTCAAGCAGGGAGCAATTGTGCAAACTCGCAAGACCAAGGCACATGTTCACCCCGGACAGGCTCACTCAATGCAGCTGAAGTGGGAAGCCTTCGCCAATAGATGGGCTGACAATCATGCTGAGCATGCAATTCAGCATGGTTGTTTCCATCAGCTCCAGAAAGCCATTGCTGCTGCTTTGCGGAGAAAAATCAGGAAAGAACATTTGAACAACCTGTTTCAGATGTTGGTGCAAACTGCGGATCTTCACTTGGCAGAGAGCAGAAAAGATGAGCGCCAGGCTCGAACACTTCAGGCTGACCTGTCAGGCTTGCAACCTTCCGCAAGGCCAAGCCGAGGGATTGTTGCTGACCAAGAAGAGGCGATCCTTGCCTTAGATCTCGCTATGCAGATTGCCCTGGCACAAGGCCATTCACTGGCTCCAGGCCAACATGTTCAACATGTCAACAAGGCCAGATCTCTGACAGCTGTGGGCTAGGTGTGGCCTGTCGGCCCGTCCTGACACATGGCGAGCAGGGCCTTCGCATCTTTGCTCTACCCTTAGGCTCGTGCAGTCCTGTCCCTTGTGAGGTGTGGCAACCCTATGACTTGAGAGTGCGCAATGTGGTTAATTGGAGGAAAGCCAGGAGATGAGCTGCATGCCGCGTCCGGACTGAATTCATTTGCATGGTCATGGTTTTGTACCGTTTGTTTTTTCAGGAGGCCGACTCCTGACGTGGCGCCTTAGTGCCCTTCTTATCCCTGCACCTGCCGACAAGTGACAGTGTGCCCTGGCCACGCATACGGCTGGGTCAGAGCATTGCATAGTCTCTGTGGCTTCCATTGGTTTCTGACCGGGCCTTAATTCTTACCCAGTCGGATGCGTCGAGGCGTCGAATGGGATGAACCCTTTTGCCTACTTCTGCCTGCCTGGAAGCACTGAGCCAACCGCGAAACGCTCACCAAACATGGGCTAGATTTGAACATCTGGTTTTAGGCTTGGATCAATGAGGAGGTGAACCTTTGGAGGTGTGCTCTCAATAGTGGTACTGGGTGCAAACAAAAAGGGCTCATAGGGAGGAACGCGTCCAAAGCGAATCGACCGGATCTGCCTGGACGTTCAAGTGCCCAAAAGTCACACCAGTCGGTTTTTTTCTTGCGGTCCGCCCTTCCAGCGGCTCAAGGTTCCCAAAGTCGAGAACGGCTTCTCCCGGTCGGCAGCCACGCCAGCAAGGGCCCAAAATGGGCGGGGCTGTACGGTTCTGGGGAAAGTGTCAGCAAAATTGGTATCATGGAAAGTCACTGGGGCACCTAGAGTAAGTCACTGGCACTGTGGGTGGCATACACGCATGTGTATGTATATGTCTATATGTTTATGTATATGTGTACATATTCATACACACGCACATATATCTATTGTCTATCTATAATATAGATATATATATATATATTTGTATTCATCTATATACGCATGTACATATATATACATATGTTTGTTTATGATTAGACAGGCATGCATGTGATAGTAAACTTTGTGTTTCTCTTCTTCATACTTGCGATGTTTAGTGCGTGCACCATGTTTGATGCTCCTGAACAAGCGACGGAAAGATGAGCCATGAAGGAAACATCAGGAAAAATCAGGGGGCAAAGGCCAACCTTTTGACCTCGATAGGTAAATGCCAGAGACCCCTTTAGCCAAGAAATTGTGTTTGAATTGAGGATGGACATTCCACTTCCCCCACTTGAGGCAAAGAACTGACTGCGACAAAAACAAAAACATGCAGATGCTTAGATACTTGGCCTGTTAAATCGTTGCGTGTTTTTTTACATTCGTCATGTGGCAGGGCTGAAGAGCTTTCTGGCATGCAAGGGGTTGGGAAGGTGAGTTTTTAGCCTTTCTGAAGTGAGACTCTCAAGATGATCCTTTTTGTGGGAACTACGGCTTGAGGGGAGCAATGATAGAGCTACCGTCTTCCCATACCCTCCCCCAGGCAATTCCATAGAAGCTCCCACCCCTTTGAAAAACGAACATTTAAATAGGCCAGCAGCTTCCCAATTTATGGGCTTGGAGCAGCTTGAATCGTGGATGGGCAAACTGAAGCGACCTCACGCAGTAGGCGTTGCCACCTTACAAAGTGTGACGGTTCCACACTTTGTCAGATGGGTGAACGCAATTTACACCACTGGTTCTCATACTTGCCGGCCGCTCTCTGCGCGAAGAAAAGGTGAGTGACGTGTTTTGCGAGGATGCCGAGCGTTGGGAGGGAAGCCAAACACTCAGCGTCCCGTGTGCCGAGGTTTAGTGCGCGGCCACCGCGCACGGGCCTAAAGGACACCGGGAACAACGACCAAAGACCCAACACGGAAGGGGGGTTTGTGTCCCCGATGTTTGGAATGCACACAACGCGGGGGGGAACCTTGAACGTTTGATGAACTGCCACAACAAAAATCATGTGCAGAACTGTTGGGGTGGGGTGGCGGGGTTGTTCAGTTTCTTCTTTTTGTTCTTTTGGTTCGAAGGGTTGCCCACCAAACATGGTCAAACCCTGAAAGACGGTCGCTGGTTGCAACACGTTCCGCACGATCCGCAAGATTTTGGGCAAAGGATTTGGCCATCGTCGCCTTCACTTTGGCCACAAATGCGCTGCCAGGGGGGGGGGGTGGGGCGGCTAGCAACCTTCCGAGTGAGAAAATGTGGGAAGGGCTCCTTGCCACCTGCGGAGACCGCTTGAACTTCAATGGGAATATATGGATAAGGAGGCCAAGGTTTGCTCCTTGGGTTGGGATTCATCGTCCAGTTTACGTTGGCCTTCAGCAAGGGAACACCACAATGACGTACCAGATGGAACCTAGACGCCCAACAAGTTGATCAAGTGACTGGTGGGTTCCACTGAAAATGGTCACTGGAGGTCACAACGTGAGGAAATGAGAAAGAAAATTGGTCTTGAAAATGGGCCACGCACCTGGTTTCCTGCACTTGATTTAGGACGCCTCTTGGAATTCACCCTGGGGCTGTTCGCCGAGGCCCTGAAAGAAGAGACGCCCCAGCCTTGGGGACTCAAGAAGGAGGCCTTGAAGTGACCAGAAGTGACTGGCCAGTGGGAAGGAGGGGCCAGAACAAAAACCACTGAGAGGCCTTTCAGTGGCAGGGGGCAGTTCCCGTTCCTGATGTGAAAGCGAGTCGACGTGACCGGACCGTTTGCTTTTATTTGTACATGACGACGTTTCCGGGTCCTGGGTTTAGCGCTCAGGGTCCTCAGGTTAGCCTAGGGTGCTCCAACCCTGGCATACATGGCATACCAGGGTTACTCAATAGGCTACTAGGTGTGTCAACCTGTTGGCAGGAATTTGCGCAATGAACAATGGCCACTCCGGCTCGCTGAGGATGTTTGTAGGCAGAGCCCCCTCGGTGTATTCAATCTGTTCTGGGTGCGTTGTCATGGTTACCCGGTTACCCAATCGTGGTGATTTGTTTGATGGTGTGTATGCCTTGTTCAGGTGTTGTTCATGGTTTGCATGTGTTGCATATTATGGTGTTTCCCTTCAACAACTTGTTTTATAGTTGTGTGTGATGCTCAACCGATGTTTTCGGTGTTCATTTGCCCACGGATTCTTGTGGTTTTGGATGGCCACTTGTGGCACCTTTTCGGGAGTCCACCCAACAGTTGGCCAGGGGGATACTGTATACTTCCGTCTCGCAGGGGTTACTCCCGGACAGCATGAGCAAAATGAAATGTTCCTACTTCTTTGCCCCCAAAATCATCTGGACCCAGAAAGGACGTTCCACCTTAAACGTTTCAACCCGAAGATGCGTGTCATTGTCCCTTGTGGCGTTAGATGGGCAGATGATGGCAACCTCATTGGGGTTGGTGAACCAGCCAGCAATCCAGGCCCAGTGACAGGGGTCCCCTTGGGTGTGTGATGAATTATTAAGATTCACCCTGGCCCATGAGCTTGTTGGAATTCATCAGGGTTGCATTGAACCTCTGAAGGGTGATCAAAACAACCAAAGAGTAGAAACTTGGCGTGGCTTTAAATTGGATTCCCCCGGACCAGGGCCCAATTGTCTAAGGTTTTAGCATTTAGGAGCAACCCTGATGTGGTACTTACCCTCCCACGCAGGAACACGGAACCTGACGTGCGGGGCCCGTTCCTTTAAAAGCAACGTGGTTCCAGTCAGGACCTGGACATCAGGTTCCACATGAAAAGTGCAGGGTATGAGATTCCAGTTTTCTCATGTTTTCGTGTTTTTTTTTCTTTGTTTTTCTTTTTTCTGGCGATTTGGCTTTCGAGCACCTCAGGCAGAGATCAAGCTGGTCGCGGACATGACAGACCAGGAGGCAGGGCAAGTAGAACAGGGGGGTGTCTTTTTCAGGGACCCCCAAGAATGATGGGATTCATCCCCTGCCACTGTCGAAAAGAAGAAAAAGCAAAAACGGGCTCATCTCAACATGTTTGGAATCAGGAAGACTCAATATTTTCGAGTTCATATGCCTGTCCTCGGGTCAGTCCCTGGTCAATCCGACCACCACCGTAGCTTTGCTGTGAACGAAGGACTCACCCGTTTTGGCCGGAGGCTGCGGAGCTGAAAGCCTATGGAGGCCAGGGGTGGTGTTATTCTTTGGTCGCTGTGGCCCCCCTTCGGTCAGGGCTTGACCCACCGAGCTGTGCCCTTTGTCCCCTGAAAAGAATCTCCAAAGAAGCGCTTCTTTCCCAGCCACTCGGATCTGAGGCGACCCTGGGGCTGCTGTGTGCTTTTTGGGTAACGCGAAGGGGCACTCTAAGTTTAGCATCTACACGTGTCCAGTTAGGGGGGAAGCTTATGGTTGTTCCTTTGAGCCGCCTGGAATCTTGGCTCGCTCAAAATTTTGTTGTGGCATCCGCTAAGCATCCGCTAGTTCAAATACCCCTTGGCGCTTCACAGCAAGAATGGGAAAATGGTCAGCCAATCTGCCCAGTCTGTTTGGCTGCTTCTTGGTGAAAGGCACAGTTCATAACCTGTAATTGGCTGTTAGATCCCGGCTTAATTCCGAATCAAGCTCAACATGCCAATGATTGATACATGGATGGGACGTATACCATTAGCCTTTGATGTGGGCTTCCGCGTGGTCTCCCGGTGGCACAAGCAAAGGGATGGGTATGGCCAACCAACCGTTTCGCCCAATGATATCCTCGGGGAATCCCGGGACTGGATGAGGAGGAGCCCACCTTGCATTGACAAACAGCAGCTACGACGCCAAAGAGGCAAGCGCCACATGTTGCATGTAAACCAGCCGAATAAAAACAATGCCGAACCACAGGGAGTCCATGGTCTCTGATCGGCTGGCAATGTGTAGGACATCAACATAGGCTCCAGAGTCGCAAGACATGCCACCCACGTCAGCTCACAATATTTTGGGGAATCAAGCACACCATTGTGCCCAATGCATTTGCGCCTATATACATATGTTCAATGTTTGTTTGAGCAAAAGTGTGTATTTGCATGTTAGCATTCGTACTAGAATATGCATTTGCATATGTAGTTTAACATTAACTTCAAAAAGTGTGTGGATCCGTGTTCCATGTATAAGTGAGTCTCCTGATTGAGTGTTATGGTTGGCATTGATTCAGCCGCGACCCAAAAGGACGATGCCTGAAACACACTGACATCTTCAACATATTTGTCCAGCTTCAACTGCTTATGTGTTTTTTTTATCGTTGTCAAGGAGTTTTCCCAGGGGTTTTCAGCCAGGTCTCTTCCCAGAAGTCCCAGAAGCCCCTGGCCCAGTGACACGGATCCGGGATCGGGCTGCCTTTTTTTTTGCGGGGAGCCGGAGGGAGCTGCGAGCCGAACAAAACACGATGACGCCTGTAAAGAAGCAGCTGATTTGTATTTTTCTCAGCGTTTGGCTCCCCGAAGATCTCTCAAAGCTAGGAGTTCTCCAAGGACATGGTAGTTTTGATTGAAAGATTGGTGTTGGGTTCTGTTAGGGTTGTTTCGGGGTTGGTTTTGGGATGATTTAAGATCGGTTTGGGTTTGGCGTTGGGTTGGGCCTAAGCTAAACTGTTGGGGTTGACTCACCTCGGTGCCCGGTCAAACAAAACGGGTCAACCCCAAATTTCAAAGGGGCTCAAACTGAGACTTATGCAATCCCTTACGCATGTTAGGTCACCGGGATGTAAACGCATTGTTTGTGCTCGGGCAGCTGAGGTCGTGTTTCACAGAGAAGCCACGGGGTGATTCGATAGTTTGAAGGCTCCTCTCCTAGTAGGATGAACCCCCCCATTTGTAAATTTGAAAATAGGCTCATTGACTCTCCAAGATCCATCAGGCTTACTATGCTTTGATCCCTTTTTATTTGACCGATTTCTCCACCTTGCCCTGCTTGACACGGAAAAGTGTGCAGCTCAGGTATCCTTGACGTGTGGTTTGGATGGTTTGGGATTTGAAGCAGGCGAAGAAGACATGCACACCCAAGCCTCCAACCAACCAAACCAACAATTGGGGGGGGGAGTTGCATCTCGTGCTGTGCTGAGGCACCTCCAGAAGGGAGGACTATGTCGGGCAAGCGGGATGTTGCATGATGGGCTTGTCTTTAAATGACACGGAAAATGTAGAGGGCCCTTTTAAAGCAGCTGTGTTTGGATGTATCGTTTGACACAGCCTGAGTAGCCCGCTCAGCAAGTTTGGCGAGCTGAGATCGATTTCGTGGCTAACCAAATGTCAGACCCCGCATTCCGAGCTGAAGTGGGCAGCTTGGTAGTGTGATCCAAGAGTTCATTGTAGCGGAACATTGAGATTTAGGTTGTTACATGCTGT